CTAAAATTATGCTAAATAATTAAAATAAATAAATAAATAACATTAGGGTTTTGTATATCAGATGGTAGGATTGTATGCACAAGGTGTATGGTATGTATATGGTTTAAGTTACATATGGTTTGGTTCATTTCTAATTTAGAACTGTGAACTCAAATCTGAAACTGATATGAAAAGATCAATTCCCTAGTTTTCCAAACCAGAATCAAATCACAAATTCAAAAAATTAGTCAAAATATATCAAATTGGACTAAACTGAACTAGACCGGCCCGAACCAGTTCGGATTATAAATTTTTCGAATTCCTTGACTCACAAGAAAAAGCATATCAAGTATTTGCTTATTTTTGTTGGCAAGTTATGTCTACTGCATTAGCTGACCAAGAAATGATTTATTTTTGTTGTCAAGTTGTAATGCTCCAACTTTTATTAATCGGATAATATTATCAATTCTCATATTAAGGTCCATTTATGAAATAATAAAATGCAGAAGCAAAACAAAATACATAGGATATTCAAGGTTCCCTCCTGCATAAATACAATGGTACAAGTTTAGTACGGATCATTACAAAATATGCCCTTAGGCTTACATTGAGAATTTCAAAAATGCAATAATTATAATAAAGAGAGTAATAACACATTGGCATTTTCACCAGTGAGTAACAAATCTCGAATCATCAGTAACCTAACTCCTTGAATTCTTGAACGAGACAACAAACTCCACACCTAAACAATGATTTAACGACTGAGATGAGCACAAGGTCCAGTAGGGATTTACAATGATGCAAAATAATGAGATCTATAGATATATGTGATCATGAATACTATCAGGTGATATTTAGATAAGTAACGTACTCTTTTATATCCAAAATAAAACATACATAAATATATACTTTCATTTAAAAATAAATAAAAAGAAGAAAATATTCCACTTGATATTTCAAGGAAAAACTTATTTATTATCTTTTCACCTTATCATTAGCAATTTAAATGAAATGCTTCAATATCTCCTTTACTTTAGAAAGAAGTTTTAAACCAATCAATCACACACTCATACTAATCTTTAACCCAAAAACAATAATTTCACAATCAACTTTTATTACAATCAATAAAACACCAATTGTACATACCAACATCTAACATATAGACAAGCGATAGCATTCAATTCATTACAAAATTATCTCAATTACACACTTTCAATCTCCAACACAATTTCACCATAGCACACATATCCACACAATCATGCAACCAAGTGACGAACACAACACAATTAACAACCGGCTTCGTTATGTCATTCCAACACAGTTTACCAAGCACTAATTTGGAAGGAAATCTGGAACTTACCTCAAAGTGCCACACTTTACCGGTGGCTAGCCGAAGGGAAAGCAGAACCTCCATATAGTCCAACAATCCACATGCTTTATTGGGCACAAATCGAAAGGAAAGAGAAACCTCTGCTAATACACTACGTTTTACCAGTCACAAGTTGGAAGGAAACGGACCGTCTTTTTAAAACTTTAATCCATCAACTCATCATATACATCATCATTTCGATTTGTAAAATTAAATCAACAGCATGTCACATGTATAACCCATTCTACAACAATCAACATTTCCTAGAATTAGACCAACAATCTTATTATCTCATGCAATTTACCAATTCTGCTAACAACCTTCACAACATGAGCCACTTCTACAACAAACATTTTCTTTCTTTCTCAATTCACAAATCATTCTACAACAATCAACACTTCCTAGAATTAGACCAACAATCTTATTATCTCATGCATTTCATAATTCAATTTACCAATTCCGCTACCAACCTTCACAACATGAGCCACTTCTACAGCAAACATTTTCTTTCTTTCTCAATTCACAAATATTACATTACTCTAAAATCATGAGATTAACCACTTAACTCATTTAACTACTACAAATTATAAATACATCACACTTTTTTATGTGTGATGTATGCTATTTAATCACACAATTCAAGTTTTGTCAAAGTGTGATCTTTGAGAGTGTAACACGTTTTGAATGTCTTTAAAAGATGATTCCATCACACGTTTTGCGTGTGATAATAATAAATATTTAAATCACATCTTTTAAGTGTGACTAATAACATTTAGATCACAGATTTTAAGTATGATTAATATCTAATAAAACATGTGATTAATAGTGGATAAGATCACATATTATATGCATTTCTCATCACAGTTAATGAGTGTGATAAAAAAAAGGGTTCAACATAATCAATATTATTTTTGTACGCGCATTTGAAGAATATATAATACACACTATATATATCATTTGAATCACAACCACATATTGAATGAAATAACGTCATATATTTCATAAATGAAAATTGAATGTTCAAAAGTATATACAAAGGAATTAATAACAAGTTTTTAACTGTGATTACATGTATTAAAAAATAAAAAAAAAAACCCGAAGAACAAAGTTCTTGAATTCTTTGACCATATTTTACATCTCTCCAAACAATTTCTGACTTGAAAAATGAAAACACAAATTAATTAAGTGACCGCTAGCACCATATGAATAAATTTACTATTTGTAGAGACTGTTCTAGTCTTAGAAAAGATAAAGTCAGACATTTTCTCATCACACCGACTCTTCATCTCCTGCATCAACAGAAAATGAAGAACCACTTTGACTGTTACTAGTATAAAATGTTTGGATTACCATATAGATATGACATATACATAGTATCAACAAATCCAAAATGAAAATCTTCAGCGCATGGCCAAATATTTTAAAGTCATAAAACCAAAATAAAAGCCAACTATTATTTAAATATAGTAAATAAAAGTCAACTATTTTAAAGTCATAAAACCAAAATAAAAAGCCAACTATTATTTAAATATAGTAAATAAAAGTCAACTATTTTAAAGTCATAAAACCAAATATACATGGAATCTACAAATCCAAAATGAAATCTTGAAGTAATTGTGTATTCGTCACCAACTAAATAAATAGTTTATTAGCAATTTAAAGAACGAAAGTTATATCATATTTCTATGTTGGATTTCAACTCATATTGTTTAAGACGAAATTAATCCATTCAACTCGCACTTCATCAAGTTCGGTTTCTGTATAAGTCCTTTTTTCATTGAATTGCAAGAGGTTATTTACAAACAATTAGATAATGAAGATGATGTACAAGTATCATGAATATAAATATAATAATAAAAGTTGAAATTTATCTCACATTTTGTTTTTTTGGATGCTTTGATCTCTAATGAGGTCTTTCATATATCTCATTACATAAAACCCACATTTCACATTTGTGGGTTGTTGCGGAAAGTACATGAAAAGCATTTTCATTATTATTAGAAACTATATATAAAGTGCTATGATCAAGCTGAACAACCATTACCATAAATATAAGTATGACAAAATTAAAGAAAATGATATTGACTACGTGAACTATTCCACACTAGATTGGTCCTCCCCCTTTGGCATTTAAAGAAAATGGCATTCAAAGCAAATTATAAGGCAGTTATCTTCAATATACAAAAGCTTTTAAGACCACCTTCATAAATGATCTTTTTGCTTCATCTTAACAACTTAACAAGCTTCATTTCAATCAAGCCAGTGCTGATACGATATAGGATATATAATTTTGATTGCCCTTGATATCTTGCCCTAGACCCACTCCATCTCAGAATATTTAATTATGGAGGACCCTTGAACTAAACAATGATTTCCAACCTACTATTTTTGCTGCTTAGCCCAAAATGATTTCTAAAATCCCAAGGGCTCAGCACTTTCACAACCTAGATTCGGATAAATTGTCATAGAAAATGAAGGCTCTAAACAACAAAATGCATGCCAACAATATTAAAATTAAATACTGATGTGCAACTGAACCTCAATTTAGAACCTCCTATCTTACATGTAATAGGCAGATGATAAACCAACTCATCCTCTTAACAGAGGAATATATTTTAAAATACAAGTAGTGATCTAGTTTAGTTATCTCATGAAACACAAACATCCAAACAAAGTGTAGAACCTTGCTAAAATTGTATAAAAAAAAAAGCATTTTCATTTCTTCATAAAGACAATTAAAATGAAGATTGATAATCTTTTAAAGCGAGAACAAGCACTTGCCTCTTGGCATCCCAAACTTGAAAAGGAACATCCAATGAGTCAATGAAATTAAGGGAAATGAAGTATTTTTTTCTAAGATGGTTCTGAATTACGACAATCTTAGATGATTATGTTGGGAAACATGACTGCTGAAACTAATAGTGTTTTGTGATAGTATTTGTTCACTGTATCACAGATAACAAGGCAAGCATGATGCATCTCACAGAAAGGGAAACATAAAGATAGGTATCAGCATTACATTCATATATCAACATTACATATACAAAACAAAAATATTGTAAGGAAAGAGATCTTACCAATCATCATTTGAACCGGCAGGAGTAGCATAAAGTGCACCAGACCTTTTCCAATTCTCTAACAGCTTCTTGTTGTTATGACTCTGCGCTGGACCACCAGTAACATGACTTTTATGCAAAACAAGTAGTAATCTCTTTGACGGCCTCATTTGATGTAACTGATTTACAATAGAATTAAGCTACAACCAAAAGAAATTATTAAGAACCATATCCATGCGATTCTAACTTTGAGGAAGAGATATATTACTGTAAAGTAACAGAGATATGGAGTAATGCAGTCTACCAACATGTCCACTACTAGACATAAATCATTAAGATATTTATGGACAACAAGATGACAATCTAGTTATTCAAATTCCAAATTTGGAAGTAACATAAAGAAACAAGATAAAAATTATTGACAGCATTGTCCACTAATGTGTAAGAATCAACTATAGGAATCAATTCCAAAATAATATACATCTCAAGTAACTCCATGTGTTGAATTGCGGTATTAATCAATGAAGCATAAAGATAATGTCATACCTGAAACTGCATAAAATCAGCCTCAACCTCTCTTTGGCGTACCAAATTGGTCAATGAAGCAGTGAAGTTTTCAGTCTCTTTAGGATCAATATCAATGCTAACAAGCTTCTCTCCACACGATAGGCACACACCCATTTCATCCATTTGCATCCTCGTAACTCTCCAATTCCCATTTCCGAGCCACCCTTGTCCATGCCACCCCCTCCTCCCTTCACAACCTCTTCCCTCACCTTACCCACATCCCAATTCACCTCCCCAAACCTCTCTGCATCCCTTTCAGACTCAAGCCAACGCTCCACAACCCCAGCAGTCTCTTCCGTGACCTGCCTCACCGTGACACGCAACCGGTGCAACATTTCATAAACTCTATCAGCCTTTTAAAACTCTGGTTGACACACAATTAACTCAGTACTGGCCTATGCATGATGATGGAATAATATGTATAGTTTAATAAAACTAACAATTCAAGTCCAAGCACTTTGATGCCACATTGCATTGGATCGCCATACAATCACCAAAAAAACAAAAAAACAAAAAAAATTGATACCCCTCATAAAGCACCCAAAACCCTTGTTAATCACCGTTTGTGGCCCACATGCTAACCAATAAGAGATTTCATATCAATATAGATAACTTAGGCAAATTCCCAGCAAAAGAGTCAACGCCCCAAAAAAATTCCCAACAAAGAGATTTCGTTACAATTCTTAAAGCCAATTGTTTATAATTTTAGTATGTCGAAAAAAACTGAAAATTGTTCCCATTCTCAAACAAAATCAATGTCAACATGCAGATTAAAAAACAATCGCAAACCCTATTAACAGAACGATAAGGAAATAAATTATTTTCCAGCTAATAATTGAAAACCCATAAATAAACTGATGAAGATCGATATTCTGTTGATAAAGGTCCAGCTTTTGCAAGATGAAACCCAAAAAAGAACAAAAAAAAACCCCTAAAATTACCTTTGAAATTGGGCGGATCGAATTTGAGAGCGAGGTCGTACGATCTCGATTTGGAATTAATTGGATCAACCATTGCAAAGGCGAACCTGATTCGATCACCATCAGCTGTCTCGCCGGCCGATCACTGATTGCTAGAGAGAGAGATGAAAGAACGAGAGAGTGAGTGAGAGAGAGCGAAAGGCTGCATTTAGGCCAATTTCCCTGATTATGCCATTTTCAAAATTTTAGTCGCAATCTAGGGTGCCTTTTTCTTCTTTATTCCCATTATTGGTGAGACGGCTTTAGCAAAGCCGTTTTCAAGAACACGATTTTACCAATGTCGTTTTTAGTGAATAAAAATTTTTTAAAAATAGTTCAATGCAAATGACTTTTGAAAAGTTATTTTTACTTAAATTATAATTAAATTTGAGTTAATTAAAAATTGATTTACTTTTGACTTAGTTTTCTAACCGGGAGTCCCATGCGAGTTCCGTAAGTTTTCACGACTCACGTTGGTCCCTCCCTAGGTGTTTGAGGTGTTCTCCGGAGCTTTTCTTGACCGTTATACGATTTTTGGCCCCCCGATGGACTATTTTCAAGCTTAGGTGCAAGAAAAGTGCCGTTTCAGACTTAGTTTTCAAATCGGGAGTCCCGTGCTAGTTCCGTAAGTTTTCAAAAGTTACATTGGTCCCTCCCAGGGTGTTTGACGTGTTCCCCGGGCCTTCTCGTGACTGTTACACGATTTTGGCCCCTGACGGCTTATTTTCAAGCTTAAGTGTCAAAAAAGTGCATTTTTTTATTTAGTTCTCACACCGAGAGTCCCGTGCTAGTTCCGTAAGCCTCCGAAACTTACCTTGGACCCTCCGGTGTTTGGGGCATTTCTCGGTCCTTCTCGTGACTGTTACACGGTTTTGGCCCCCCCGGTGTCCTATTTCCAAGCCTAAGTGTGGAAAAAGTGTCTCTTTCCAACTTAGTTTTCAAACTGGGAGTCCCGTGCTATTTCTGTAAGTTTTCACAACTCACGTTGGTCACTCCTGAGATGTTTGAGGTGTTCTTGGCCCTTCTTGTGACTATTACATGATTTTGGCCCCCGATGGCCTACTTCCAAGCTTAAGTGTTAGAAAAGTGTATTTTCCGACCTAGTTTTCAAATTGTGAGTCCCGTGCCTAGTTATTAAGTTTTCACAACTCAAATTGGTCCCTCCTGAGATGTTCGAGGTGTTCCCCGGGCCTTCTTGTGATTGTTACACGAGTTCCTATCCTCAAGCTTAAGTGCGAAAAAAGTACATTTTCCAACCTAGTTTTCAAACCAGAAGTCCCACGCTAGTTCCGTAAGTTTCCACAACTTACATTGGTTTCTCGGGACTGTTACAGGATTTTGGGGGGCCCCCGATGGCCTATTTTCAAACTTAAGTGTTTAGGAAGTGCATTTTTTAACGTAGTTTTCAAACCGAGAGTCCCATGCGAGTTCCGTAAGTTTCCACGACTCACGTTGGTCCCTCCCTAGGTGCTTAAGGTGTTCCCCCGACCTTCTCTTGACTGTCACACGATTTTGGCCCCTCGATGGACTATTTTCAAGTTTAGGTACGAGAAAAGTGCCGTTTCGGACCTAGTTTTCAAACCAGGAGTCCCGTGCTAGTTCCGTAAGTTTTCACAACTTACATTGGTCCCTCCCGGGATGTTTGACGTGTTCCCCCGAGCCTTCTCGTGTATTTTTTAACTTAGTTTTCAAACCGCGAGTCCCGTGCTTGTTCCGGAAGTTTCCACAACTTACATTGGTCTCTCCCAAGGTGTTTGAGGTATTCCACGGTCCTTCTCGTGACTGTTACACAGTTTTGGCCACCGATGGCCTATTTTCAACCTTAATTATGAAAAAAATGTCATTTTCGACTTAGTATTCAAAGCGGAAGTCCCGTTCTAGTTCCGTAAGTTTTCACAACTTACATTGGTCCCTCCCGAGATGTCTGAGCTGTTCCTCGGGTCATCTCGTAACTGTTACACGATTTTGGCCCCCGATGGCCCATATTCAAGCTTAAGTGTGAAAAAAGTGCATTTTTGGACTTAGTTTTCAAACTAGGAGTCCCGTGCTAGTTCCGTAAGTTTAGACAACTTACATTGGACCCTCCCGTGGTGGTTGATGTGTTGCCCAGGCCTTCTCGTGACAGTTACCCGATTTTGGCCCCCAATTTTGGCCTATTTTCATTCTTAAGTGTGAGAAAAGTATCTTTTCGGACTTAGTTTTCAAACTAAGAATCCCGTGATACTTCTGTAAGTTTCCACAACTTAAATTGGTCCCTTCTAAGGTGTTTGAGGGGTTCCCCCGGCCATCTCGTGACTGTTACACGACATTGGCACCCGATGGCTAATTTTCATGCTTAAGTGTAAAAAAAGTGCAATTTTTGACTTAGTTTTCGAATCAGGAGTCCTGTGCTACTTCCGTAAGTTTTCACAACTTACATTGGTCCCTCCCGAGGTGTTTGAGTCGTTCCCCGGGCCTTCTCGTGACTGTTACACGATTTTGGTCCGTGAAGGCCTATTTTCAAGTTTAAGTGTGAAAAAGTGCATTTTTTGAGTTAGTTTTCAAACCGTGAGTCCCATGCCAGTTCTGAAAGTTTGTACAACGTACATTGGCCACTCTTGCGGTGTTTGAGGCATTCCCGATCCTTCTCGTGACTGTTACAAGATTTTCGCAGCCAATGGACTATTTTTAAACTTAAGTGTGAAAAAAGTGTCTTTTTCGACTTAGTTTTTAAACCGGAAGTCTCGTGCTAGTACCGTAAGTTTTCACAACTAACGTTGGTCCCGCCCGAGGTGTTTGAGGTGTTCCTAGGGCTTTCTCGTGACTGTTACACGATTTTGGTGCCCGATGGCCTCTTTTCAAGCTCAAGTGTTAGAAACTGCATTTTTGGACTTAGTTTTCAAACTGCGAGTCCCGTGCTTGTTCCGGAAGTTTCCACAACTTACATTAGTCCCTCCCAAGGTGTTTGAGGAATTCCACGGTTCTTCTCGTGACTGTTACACAATTTTGGCTACCGATGGCCTATTTTCAAGCTTAATTGTGAAAAACATGTCTTTTTCGACTTAGTATTCAAAGCGAAAGTCCCGTTCTAGTTCCGTAAGTTTTCACAACTTACATTGGTCCCTCCCGAGGTGTCTGAGCTGTTCCCCGGGCCTTATCGTGACTGTTACACGATTTTGGCCCCTGATGGCCTATATTCAAGCTTAAGTGTGAAAAAAGTGCATTTTTGGACTTAGTTTTCAAATTAGGAGTCCCGTGCTAGTTCCGTAAGTTTAGACAACTTACATTGGACCCTCCCGTGGTGGTTGATGTGTTGCCCCTTCTCGTGACAGTTACCCGATTTTGGCCCCCAATTTTGGCCTATTTTCATTCTTAAGTGTGAGAAAAGTATCTTTTTGGACTTAGTTTTCAAACCAGGAATCCCGTGATAGTTCTGTAAGTTTCCACAACTTAAATTAGTCCCTTCTAAGGTGTTTGAGGGGTTCCCCCGGCCATCTCGTGACTGTTACACGACATTGGCACCCGATGGCTAATTTTCATGCTTAAGTGTAAAAAAAATGCAATTTTTGACTTAGTTTTCGAACCAGGAGTCCCGTGCTACTTCCGTAAGTTTCCACAACTTACACTGGTCCCTCCCGAGGTGTTTGAGGCATTCCCCGGGCCTTCTCGTGACTGTTACACGATTTTGGTCCGTGAAGGCCTATTTTCAAGCTTAAGTGTGAAAAAGTGCATTTTTTGAGTCAGTTTTCAAACCGTGAGTCCCGTGCCAGTTCTGAAAGTTTGCACAACGTACATTGGCCACTCCTGCGGTGTTTGGCAGCCGATGGACTATTTTTAAACTTAAGTGTGAAAAAAGTGTCTTTTTCGACTTAGTTTTCAAACCGGAAGTCCCGTGCTAGTATCGTAAGTTTTCACAACTCACGTTGGTCCCGCCCGAGGTGTTTGAGGTGGTCCCAGGGCTTTCTCGTGACTGTTACACGATTTTGGTGCCCGATGGCCTCTTTTCAAGCTCAAGTGGTAGAAACTGCATTTTTTGACTTAGTTTTCAAACCGCGAGTCCCGTGCTTGTTCCGAAAGTTTCCACAACTTACATTGGTCCCTCCCTGTGTTTGAGTTATTCCACGGTTCTTCTCGTGACTGTTACACAATTTTGGCCACCGATGGCCTATTTTCAAGCTTAATTGTGAAAAAAAAAGTCTTTTTCGACTTAGTATTCAAAACGAAAGTCCCGTTCTAGTTCCGTAAGTTTTCACAACTTACATCGGTCCCTCCCGAGGTGTCTGAGCTGTTCCCCGGGCCTTCTCGTGACTGTTACACGATTTTGGCCCCCGATGGCCTATATATTCAAGCTTAAGTGTGAAAAAAGTGCATTTTTGGACTTAGTTTTCAAACTAGAAGTCCCGTGCTAGTTCCGTAAGTTTAGACAACTTACATTGGACCCTCCCGAGGTGGTTGATGTGTTGCCCAGGCCTTCTCGTGACAGTTACCCGATTTTGGCCCCCAATTTTGGCCTATTTTCATTCTTAAGTGTGAGAAAAGTGTCTTTTTGGACTTAGTTTTCAAACCAGGAATCCCGTGATACTTCTGTAAGTTTCCACAACTTAAATTGGTCCCTTCTAAGGTGTTTGAGGGGTTCCCCTGGCCATCTCGTGACTGTTACACGACATTGGCATCCAATGGCTAATTTTCATGCCTCAGTGTAAAAAAAGTGCAATTTTTGACTTAGTTTTCGAACCAGGAGTCCCGTGCTACTTCCGTAAGTTTTCACAACTTACATTGGTCCCTCCCAAGGTGTTTGAGGCATTCCTCGGCCCTTCCCGTGACTGTTACACGATTTTGGTCCGTGAAGGCCTACTTCCAAGCTTAAGTGTGAAAAAGTACATTTTTTGAGTTAGTTTTCAAACCGTGAGTCCCGTGCCAGTTTTGAAAGTTTGCACAACGCACATTGGCCACTCCTGTGGTGTTTGAGGCATTCCCGATCTTTCTCGTGACTGTTACATGATTTTGGCACCCGATCGACTATTTTTAAACTTAAGTGTGAAAAAAGTGTCTTTTTCGACTTAGTTTTCAAACCGGAAGTCCCGTGCTAGTACCGTAAGTTTTCAAAACTCACGTTGGTCCCGCCCGAGGTGTT